GAAGGTTGAGTGGAAGGTCGGATGAGTGGAAAGGTTCGTTTGAGTTGGAAAGGTCGTTTTGATCGTTATTGAGCGGGAAGGTCGGTGCAGTGGAAAGGTCGTTTGAGTGGAAAGGTTCGATTGAATGGGAAAGGTCGAGTGGAAAAGGTCATTGGTTTGAGTGGAAAGGGTTCGTTTTAAGTGGAAAGGTGTTCGTTTGGATGGAAATCGGCGTTGAGTGGAAAGGTCGTCTTTTAGTCGGAAAGCGTCGTTTTGAGTGGAAGGTCAGTGAAAGTGGGAAAGGTGGTTTTGAGTGGAAAGGTCGTTTGAGCGGAAAGGTCGTTTGAGTGGAAAAGTCGTTTAAGTGAAAGGATTCGAGTGGAAAAGATCGTTTGAGTGGAAAGGTCGTTTGAGTGGAACGGTCGTTTGAGGTGTTAGAGCGTGTTTGAATAGAACGTGTTTTTGAGTTAAGATAGTAGTGGAAAGGTCGTTTGAGTGGAAAGGTCGTTTGAGTGGAAAGGTCGTTTGAGTGTAGGTTGAAGGCAGTTTCAGCTGTAAAAAATGTTGAAATGAAATGATATACACATAAATAAGTTTGAGAATTTCAGCTATCGACTTTCCACGAGGGAAGCGCAATCTTACCATGAAGATAATGATAGTGTTCCTTTCCTCTCTTTACGGTGTGTTTGCTTATCCTTTTTCTTTTGTACATCCTTTATTACTTTTTTATATTTTTAAAATTTTGTTTCGCTTATTTTTCTATAATATTGAATTTTTTTCTTGCCTTATCCGGCTGTAACGTAATTTATTATTAATTTCTGTAGCACTGAAGATAAAGAAATGATCGTCTTTGAAACATTTGGAAAAGAAAAAATGATCGTATCAGCATTGGTCATTATCTTCACTTTAAAATGATATTGTATGTACATATCATAAAGAATAATGCGTTGATATTTTTATCTTAATCTAAGAGTAGTTTTATGGTAGTTTAAGTGTAAAATATGTTTATAAGAATAATGTATAGGTATTTTGAATTTAGACTGAGTGTAGTTTGAAGGCAGTTTGAGTGTAAATAAGATAATTTGAAGGTAGTTTGTTTATACAGCGTAGCTTGAAGTTAATATGATTGTAAATGGAATAACCCGAAGTATTTTGCGTTTAAACTGAGTGTAGGTTGAATTCAGTCGCCAACAGGGTCACCATGCTAGGTCAAGCAAGGGTGTCTTTTCCCCAGAGTCACCCACACCATCGCTCTTACGACACCTCTCCCTCTCCCGGGCCCACGCTTTCTCCCACAACCAAATAACGGCGTGACAGCCACTCAATGACCCTTCCTTACCTTGTCCTCCCACGCAGGTAATCTCATTGTCCTTAGCCTTCCCCCTCCTCCTACTCCTCCCCCTCCTTCCCTTGGGGGTCGAGGGGGGGCGAGGGAGGTGGAGCGAGGTCGTAGGTAGTCGTGGAATAGGGGTTGAATCATTCATGAGACCCAGATCTTGTATCAAAAACAGATTTCAAAAAGCCTTCACTCTCCTTCCTGCACGCCTCAAACTTCCCTTCACCCCCCCCCCTCCCCCCTGCCCCCAACTCCACCCTCCACTTCGTGCTGACCTCCAGGGACGACCTGCGGACGTGCGGGGTTTTTCGTTCTTTGTTCGTTGTCTTAGAGTGCACTTGATTATCTTTCGTAACTTTTCATCATTTTTTTCCGGCGCGTAAATCTCGATGGTTATTTTTTTCTCTGAAACTTTGGCTGTTTCTTATTTTTCGTCTTTCGTCTTTTTTTTTTTTTTTTTTTTTTTTTTTGCATAAATATTATTTTGTGCTCTCTCACACACACATTCATTCACTCACTCATACAGTCTCTCACAAACGCATGCACACGCGTACACACAACACACACACACACACACACACACACACACACGCACACACACACACACACACACACACACACACACACACACACACCACACTCACTCACTCACTCACTCACTCACTCACTCACTCACTCACTCACTCACTCACACACACACACAACACACACACACACACACACACACACACACACACACACACTCACAAACTTTTAGTACATTTATATATATATATATATATATATATATATATATATATATATATATATATATATATATATATATATGTATATGCAGATATACATATTTGATATATACATATACATATATATATACACATACAAACAAACACATATGCATAGACTCATAATAAATATTCACACACACTCGCATGCAGAAGTATCCCAGTATCTTGCTTCTGCTCACCTCTCCGGATATGAGCAGATTCGCTAGCTTCGGCCGCATAATTAACTCATTGGCAACTCATCTCCGGACCCTTAAGACCTCCACTCGCGAACTCTTTTCCCTCTTCCTTCCCTCCACTTTACTCCATTTCCTCTGTCTTTGGCTAAAGATAACTCTATACCGCTCAAGGAGGCATGGGGCAAGAATGCAAAAATCGACCTTAGCGACCGTCAGCGTCG